GTTGCAACACTGTTCGCACTAGGACTGGCCGTCACTGCTCCCCAGGACTGGAACATAGACCAAACAATACTGCTGGCCTCCTGTTTTCCTCCTCATAGTAGGAAGCCTTTCTGCTGTTTGGTGATATCTGTCCCAGACCCCAGTCTCAGGCATGAGGTCTCTGATGTGTTTTTGCCTTCTGACTCTATTACATTTTAAGGTTGTCCCAGCTAGAGGCAGGGATGACTGCTCAGCTTGCATAAAACCTCTGTCCTTTCAGAGAGAACTACAATATGCCTTCATCTATTACCAATACCTGTCACCCACATGCAGCACATCAATTTCTGAATGCGCCAGAGGAGGAACAATTTGCTATAAGGGAAACTGACAGGACAGAAGGGTCCTGCAAGAACAAAGGCACTACAGGGCAGATGGTTTGCTGGAAGAAAGACAGGGACCCTTTAAAGGCATGGAAGGACAAAATGACAAGGGGAGGAAAAAAAACATTATGTCTGGGCAGCCTCCCCAACCACCCAGTCCCCGTATCAGTCCACAGAGAGAAAAGCCACAGATACAGAGAAGCCATCCAGAGATGATTACCTAGACAGCTACAAGCCTATAAAAGACATTGATCTGCCACTACCATGACCCCCATTAAAGGCTTCCTTCTGGGGCAGGGAACTTTAACTTGGAACCCCAACTGTACAACCTGTTAAATGCAACTCACTACTTCCTTAATATTATGAACCCATCATTGGTGGGTGATTGTTGGCTCTGCTTGTCCTCAGGTCCCATCTATTATATAGCAACCCCAGTGAGCCCCCCTTAACCAGAGCGTGCATGATGCTACTCCCAACTCTACCAGCACAAAACCCAAAGTAAGCAATATGCAGCTATCTCAAAGGCCCCTAATTGTATCTAAAATTCAAGAGGATACCATCTAGTGGAGGAACTGGCTGCTAGCCAATGTGTCCAAATCCAAAATTGCACAGCCACCGCCATTAGATGTACAGTTGACAGACCATGGTGCAGCAGCCCAGGAACCTTCTTTGCATGCGGGACCCTTGTTTATCTGTGCTTGCTAGCTAAATGGAAGGGCATTTTCACATTTGCATTCCTCACCCCCCAGATAAACATAGTGCCTACAATCAGACCCTCCCTGTAGCTTTAATGGCCCACACATGGTAAAAGAGAGCTATCCAATTCATACCTTTACTAATTGGATTTGGGATAATCGCTGAAATAGAACAGACACAGGAAGAACTGCCTCATCAGCCTCCTACTATAATCAATTATCTGTGGACCTAACAAAGGACATAGAACAAGTGGCTAAGTCCATAGTGACCATGCAGGACCAACTGGACTCCCTAGCCTCCGCGGTCCTTCAAAATCCGAGAGGGCTGGACTTACTCACTGCTGAAAAAGGGGAGTTCTGTCTTTTCCTAAATGAAGAATGTTGTTTTTATGTGAATCAGTTGGGAATAGTCAGAGACATGGCTCAACAATTACAGGATCAGGTCGCACGCAGGATACAGGAATTAGCAAATTCTTGGAACAGATGGAGCAGCATCTGGAATTGGGCCCATGGCTACTCCCCTTGGCTGGTCCTCTTTTCATGCTCCTATTGGCCCTCATATTCAGCCCTTGCATTCTCGTCGCGTAACTTATTAGCTCACGAATGGAGGCAATAAAGTTACAGCTCTTGGTGACCCAATACAGACCCTCGGGACAAAAGGAACCTGATAGAGTCCCAGGAACCTAGGGTTGATGCTTGTCCACAAGTAGGAAAAGCATCAAAAGGGGGGAATGAACAGGAAATTGCCTCAAAGCAGGTTATGAGACATAAGAAATTGCCAGTTAAGCCATAAAATGAGTCCAGGGCCAAGATAAAAGGCCCCATGCAGAGGTAACTGCCCATTCCTGTCTTCTTCTGCAAACAGATTTCCCGCTATAGATGCCCTGCTGCCCATTCCTGCCTTTCTTTGTCTCCCTCTGTAACCAGACTTTCTGAAACAGGCCCCAATGCTACTCCTAACTAAACAACTCCAGGTTCCTAACCCCAGTGTGAGCCCACCTATTAGCAACCAGCATGTTCCCTGTAACCTGACCCCCTGTACAGCCCTTTAAGAATCCTGTGGTTTCACTGTTGGGGGCCCAGAATTTTGAGTACTAGCTCATCTGGGACCGCCAGCATAAAAAAAATAAAATAAATATCTGAGTTCTCCTACTTCTCTGAGTGTTGCTTGGTTTCTCATCTGACAATATTTCTACAACATAGCTCCTGCCTAGGCCTAGCAAGCATGAGGCCCTGAGTTCAAACCCTCAGTGCTGTCAAAAAAAAAAAAAAAAAAAGATAACAGAGTAAATTCTGAAAACTGCTATTTCTTCCCCTTTAAGTCTATTTTTTAAACTATAGGATTATTAAACATGGCAAAAGTTGTGAAGTGTTCTAAATTATGAAAATTAAGTTACAATGAGAAACGTTAACATGTAGCCTTCTGAGAATCCTTTATTATTCTCTTTTATGGAATGCAGGGTTGCCTACTTATAGAACAAAAATAAATTCAATTAAGATCTTTAAATCTGTATACACACACATACACACACACACACACACACACACACACACACATAACCTTTTAGGAAAAATTCTTTAAAATGTACTTATTAGTTCAAAGGGTATAAATATTTTTATAGTTTGAGTCATTTCACCAAATTACTTCCCAAAATTATTTACCAATTTACATTGACAGCTATATTGCCAGCAATAGCTGGTGTTATTAATAAAAACAGATACACGCATGTATACACATACAAAATAAGAAGTAAAGAATAGCTCTACGTTATTGTTGAAATTTGCATTTCCTTGTTTAATAATGATAGAACATTTTCCATGTTTATTGATTAGTTCTTCTTGTGTGAATTTTCTGTTCACATCTTCCTATTAATCAATTGGGTCTTTTTTTAAAAATTAGTTCACGTGTATCTTCACATAATAAAGTACTAGCCCATTAGGTTGTCTATAATTTGCTAATAGTGACTTTAATCAAAGAGCTCAAAAGAGAGATTTTGGGCTGGAGGTGTGGCTCAAGTAGTACAGCACCTGCCTACCAAGTGCAAGGCCATGAGTTCAAACCCCAGTACCATAAAAAAAAGAGAGAACGAGACAGAGAGAGAGATCCATATTCTTAATGAGGATTGACTTATCTGGACTGCTACTAAAATTCTCATGAGAATTAGCATACGTGTGTGTGTGTGTGTGTGTGTGTGTGTTATGCTTATGTAAACAATTACAATTCATTCTGCTTCTTCCTATTATAATGTAGGCTGCGTACGGGCAGGAATGTACCTTGAAAGCTCAACTGTGCCCACACAGCAAAAGCAGTCACTAAATACTTACTTACAAATGAAAAACCAGAATCATAAGACCCAATACTATTGCAATTATATAATCCTATAATTTAGAGGAGTTTTAAAAGGCTAACCTGAATAGGTTTAGGATGCCTCAACTCTTGTCTCACCTCATTTTATTTTATTTTCGCATTTCCGGAGATTGAACTCAGGGCCTCATGCATGCTAGGCAAGCACTCTACCTGTAAGCAGTTAATAACTAGTCCTATCTCTAATTTTAAAAATAATGGGCTGGGGATTGTAGCTCAAAGGTAGAGTACTTGCCTAACATTTCTGAGGTTCTAGGTTCAATCCCCACAGCACCGCAAAAATAAAATAATTAAAGATAGCAGTTCTCAGCTTATGGGATTTGAATAAATTTAGTCCATAAGGATATAATAAGCTACATGTCTAGAACTTTGAGAACAGAATTTTTTTTTTTTTGGGAGGGGGGTGGCAGCACTAAGGTTTAAACTAAGGGCCTCATGCTTGCTAGGCAAGTGCTCTTATTGCTTGAGCCACTCCACCAGCCATTTTTTGTGATGGATTTTTCAAGATAGGATCTCTCAAACTATTTGCTGGGGCTGCCTTCAAGCTGCGATCCCCCCACCCCCACACCATCTCTGCCTCCTGAGTAGCTAGGATTACAGGCTATTGTAATACTCACAAGCTAAAGTGAGCCACCAGCACCTGGCTCAGAACATGGTTTTAATAGATCTTCATGACAGTACCTAAAAAGTTTCCTGGACTGGGCTAGGGGTGTGGTTCAAGGGCTAGAGTGCCTGTCTAGCAAGCAAAAGTCTCAGAGTTCAAACCCCAGTACCACCAAAAATAACTAAAACAAATAAACAAAAGTTTCCTGACAGGCTGATCCTCTGAAAGCTTCAGGCTTCCCTCTCTGCATCTCTTTTGTACGTATGCATCTTTGTCCATCTCTTTCTAGCCTTCTTTGTGCCTTTTGGAGTCACTATCTTCTTTTGTGTACCTATCTATTCTATTACCATTTTACCTCTTTCTTCCTCTCCTCTACTGTCTTTTCTACCTTCTCAATTTATCTGGGGATGAAGGCTAGGCACAATGTGCATTTTAAAAGTATTATTTGCGCTTTATTACTTATATAAAATTCTGTTTTTAATGCAACACACAGTCCAGCTGGAACATTTCCCAAACCTTGCCTCTGCAATTTTAAATGACTATTGGTTGATTTCTCTCTGTAGGTTAGAAGTCTTCAATGGCTCCCCATTACCATTCTAACACATTCACTCAGAGAGATTTCCTAATGCTTTACTTGCTAGACCTCCAGTTTCAATTTCACATACACAGCTCTCTAACCTACCACCAAAGAACAGTATCATGCCCTTGGAGCTCCTAAGTCAAGGCTGGATCTTCTTCACAGATATGCAGCCTCTGGCCTGAACCAGTCAACATCCATGGACTCTAGTTCACCCAAGAGTCCCAGTGAAAAAATGACTTCCTTTGAATGCCTGGGTTTCCCTTCCTGTGACGATAATAACTGATGGTGCACTTTTCTTTGCAAGTGACCCAGCAGATATCTGGCTGACAGAATAACCTAGAATATAAGATAAAGTATTAGCTGTAGTTGTTTTTAGTAACATTTCTGATTCACTTACTGTCTTCTTCTGTTGAGTGGGTTCCTTCAGAGATGTAGATTTCCAACTGGGAGGAAAAATAGTAGAAGCAAACATTAGAGCATTCTAAGATGAGAGAGTGAGGTAGAATGTATGGTGGACTACAGAATCTAGGATGAGAGCCCAAATCTATTACTAGTATCAAAGACTTAGGGAGAAACCTCTCACATTCTTCTCTGAAAGGAAATTAATAGTATTTTGGTCAACTGGGGGAGGACAGCAGGAGGCATTCTCATGAGTTTTCTCTGAATACACATAGTTTTATATGCATCAGAATATATTTTCCCTGCACTGGAATTTTTCCCAAATCAGTGTCTAACCCTCCAGCCCCACCACTCGGGAGAGTCACATTAACAACCTAATGTAGTTTCTTCTATATTTTTCTCTACATTCATATACTCTTGCACACACCCTCCTCCAAGGTTGGAAGTTTCTTTTCTACAAGTAGATCACAGCACCCTCCTTTTCTTATTCTGTTATCTTTATAAATTTATTCTCAAGTATAATGGCTAAGCTATCCTTCCTGGCCCTGCTGCACACCTGTAAATTAGTCAAGCTCTAAAAACAAGAGCCTTTGATAAAACTCACAAAATTATTGCAAATCCTGTGGCTAAGAAAGCATGCTATATGAGAAAAGGCATGTTTACTTGTCGGGGAACACTGCAGCAAACGAGTTAATTCTTATTTACCACTGAGATAAATGCTTTTCATGAGTTAAAAAAAAAAATAAAACATAGCCTATTATAGCTTAAAGAGAGAAGTCATCTAGTTCAATCACTTTTAAAAAAGTAAAACACCAGAGTTGGGCTGTGGCTCAATGGTAAAATGCTTGCCTAGTATATACAAGACCCTGGGTTTAATCTCCCACACTGCAAAAAATAAACAAAAAACAAACCACCATGAAAATTCACCTAGTAGGATAAGACTCTTACGCTAGACCACAAAGCCATAGGTGTAGAATCAGTCCACACTCATTCACTTTGGTTAAAAATGATGCATGACTTATTCTGAAAAATGAAAAATCAAGGGGAAGAGTCAAGTATTTACCTTGCTACTCCTATATGAATTATGCCTCAACATAACTAAACAGTTGATGAGGGACAAACTGAAATTATAGGCCTTGAAATGTGATATAATGATAACAGTTATTCAGTATTCATACCAAAAATGAATGTGCGATCTAATCAGGAAACATCAGAAAAACCAACTTGAAAAACATTCTACAAATAATCTGGCCTACATGCTTCAGAAATGCCAAGATCATGAAAGACAAAGGCTAAGGAACCACTCCAGACTAAAGGATCCTAGAGTCACAATAAGGAATGCACAGTGTGTGATGGAGGAAGAGGGACGGAGATGGGAGGGGAGATCACCATGAAGGATACTACTGGGCAATCAGGGAAAATAGTGATCTTGGGTGAGTGATGTGTGGGAGTTTGTACACTCTTCTACCTTTTCTGTAAATCTGAAATCACTTCAAAATGAAAAGTTAGACATTTTATTTAAAACACACCTGTAACCCTAGCTTCTTGGGAGGTAGAGATCAGGACAGAGGTTCAAAGTCAGTCAGGGCAAATAGTTGGCAAGACCCTATCTCGAAAAAACCCATCATAAAAAAGGGCTAATGGAGTAGCTCAAGGTGTAGGTCCTGAATTCAAACTCAATACTGAAAAAAAATTAAAACACAAAATAAATTAAAATTTACAGGTTATCATAAGCATTCATTAATTTACTCAACAAATTCTTCAAGAAGCTGACAAACCAGGAGAGAGGATGAAAAATAAACTTAAACAATTAAATACATATTAGAAAATGATACTCTCTACATTAGATGACAAAGAAAGATCCAGGGAAATTCAAAGAGCAAAATGACTTTGTTATAGAAAAATCAAGACTGACATAATAGACAATAGCATTTCATTGGGACATAAAAGGTGGAGAGGATTTGGACATAAGATGGGAGGGATAGCAAGTCCATGTAGTTGGGGTACTCTGAGTAATAGATTTGCCCGAAGCAAAGCGTAGAAGGGTTACTTGCTCAGGAATTATGAGAGACAGTAAGAAATAATGCTCAACCATTCCTGAGCTATCGCTAATTACTATGAATTAACTGTGAATCTATATTCCTGCTCAGTTGTTAGTCTAAAACATCCTCCTTAGATATTAGACCAAAAGCACATGCGCGTACACACGCACACACATACACACACACACACAAACACACACACACACACACACACACACAAGAAAAAAATGGGTAAATTGGACATTATCAAAAAAACCTTTTGTACTACAAAAGATATCAAGAAAATGAAAAGGCAACGCACAAAACAGGAAAAAATGCCAATCATATATTGATAAGGAATTTGTATTTAGAATATATGAAGAACCCTTAGGGATTGAGGATGTAGTTTTGTGGGAGAGCAGGTGATTAGCTTCAATCCCCATTACCAATAAAAAGAACCCTTACAACTCAACAATAAAAAGGCAACCCAATTTAAAAATGGGTAAAGGGTCTGGATAGGTAGCTTTCCAAAGACACATAGGACTGGTGGTGTGGCTCAAGTGGTAGAGTATCTGCTTTGCCAGTGTGAAGCCCTGAGTTCAATCCCACCAAAAAAACAAAAACCTTTGTTAAAGTAGACAAAAAAATGGCTAAAAAGCACATGAAAAGATACTCAACATTAGCTGCCAGGGAGATAACAAATCCAAACCACAACGAACCATCACTTGCTATCCACTAGGATGGCTACAGTCAAAAAGACATGATAACAATAAATGTTGGTGAGGATGTAGAAACCAGCACCCTCATACACGGCTGGTGAGAATGCAAAATCAGCAGTCACTGTAGAAAACAGTCAGCAGTTCCTCAGAAGATGAAACACACAGATATGACATGACTCAGCAATTCTAATCTCAGTGGAAGAGAATGAAAACATATCCCACACCAAAACTCAAGGCAGCCTTATTCATAACAGACCAAAAATATCTAACAACTGATAAAAAGGCAAAACAAAATGTGTTATTATCCATACAATGGAGTAAAGCAATAAAAAGGAACAAAACACTGACACATGCTAAAACATGGATGAACTTTAAAAACATTGCAGTAAGTGGAAGAAGCCAAGACATGTATTGTGTACTTTCATTTGAATGAAGGGTACAGAACAGGCAAGTCTATAGAGACAGAAAGTAGATAGGTAAGTGGTTATGGGGGTGGGGAAATGGGGAGAGTGGTAAAAGGGAAGTACCTGCTAATGCCTGTAGGATTTCCTTCCCCCCTCCCTTTCTTCCCTCCCTAGCATGGCTGAGGCTCTGGGTTCAAAACAAAACATCTTCCTTACCTTGTGTTTAAATGGCAAACACCGCTGAAGTTTTACTCTTAAACACAGCCCTGTGGAAGGAAAAGAAAAGAAAAAAACCTTCAATTATCTCTTCCTCTCTTCTTATTGGCTCCTAAAAAGCATACAGCTGTCTGTGTCTACTTATAATACAGTAGCTGAAAACCTCTGCTCAACTAGCATAGGTCTCCTTTGAGTCATGCAACATGAAATGAAATTTCATATACAGTTTTACATGTTCCTCATGCTAATTCAGTGACCTATGTATCCTAACCTCACTCTACAAATGGTGAAACCAAAATCACAATGTAACTTGACCAAAGTCACTGAGATGGTAAAGTAGTAGAGCTGGGATTGGAACCCAGGACCAGTACAAAGCCTAGGCCTTTTCTGTTATATTAACTGGCCTTCAAGCAAAGGTCAATTAATTCACAATGAGGCAAACCATGCAAAAATTTAAAACTTTGCAGGTACTGTTTAAAAAGGGCCACACAAAACTTCTTCGTGATCATGGTATCTCCCCTGCCAGGTAAGTATCACACAAAACTTCTTAAATTTGGAATCTTTCATTCCTGCAAAGTACAAAGAGTTTCTTCCCTAAAACAAGCTTGGCGGATGTTGTTTATCACCCCAGGCTAAGCCACAGTTAAATCACTTCTTTTTTCCAGTTGAGCCTTCTCAAAGTTAAAACTAGAAAAAAATTTGAAAAACAAAAGAAAATTAAAACTGGACTTGACACAGAACCTCAGTGCCAATGTTCTACTTCTCCCTACCTCCACCTGAGAAATGAATTTTTATCTGTATTCCTAGACAACAAAAGGAAAATCGAACTATTCTTATTGTGAAGACAAAGTGTTTCAATAAGTTGTCAAAAAATAAGGAGTCAGAATGGATCCCTATTTCCTGGCTTTACAGGCTTCTTTTTTTGGGGGTGGGGGGGTGCTGTGCTTAGCCTTGAACCCAGGGCCGTGAGCATACTGAGCAAGTACTCTACCACTGAGGTGCAGCCCCAGTCCTTGTTTTATTTTTTAGATACAGGGTCTTACTATATGGCCCAGACTGGCCTCAAACTCACAATCCTCCTGCGTCAGCCCCCCAGGTGCTGGGATTACAGGTGTACACTATACCCACAGCTCTATTAAGTTTTCTAACAGAATTTCTTGAAAAATCTCAGAATAGGAAAAAGAATTAGAGACCGTGCCTAGCTTAGTTTCAAATAGAGTAGTTCTAAAGGTTTGATTCCTGGTACTGCAGCGACTCTAAAGTCCTCTTTAGAGGATTCTAAAGAAAACATCATTTACTTAATAGGGTCTCACTTTCGAGGATCCGCCTGGAAGCGTACTGGGAGGAGTTCCTCCTCTTATCTCACACTGTCTCCCTACTTTATCATTTGTATACCATCTGAGCGTCCACATGTGTACTCATGGCTGTAGGTATGCGTTTTACCTCTGAAGTAAATAATAACTGTTTTACAACTCACAAAGCACTTTCTTGAGGACCATTATCCTCAACAGAGGCATTACACTTAACTGAGATAGATAGTTTGTTCAAGAGTGGCTCCATTACACATTCCTGTGACTGGAAAAGTTACCCAATCCCTTCAGTTTCCTTATCTGTAAAACAGGTATAAGTATTACAAAATATAGGGTTGCTATGATGAATGAATTGTTAATCAGTGTGCTCAAAACAGGACCTGGCACACCTATATAGAATGAATGTCAGCTATTACTATTTTGTCATCTTCATGTATGGCCAGGAATCCAAGATAAGTGGTTTGCTCAACATCACATAGCTAACAAGTGACAGAACTTTCTGATGTTCCATGGGAATACAGCTGCTTGCTGCCATTCTTCTCTAGACTAAGTCAACACTAATGACTATCAACTGGTTTTCCTGTCTTGAACATTTGTCCCCTCTGATCTTCCTTATTATTGGAATTATTCATTGGGGTAGCTTTGTGTTAGTGACAGCCTAAGAATGGAACTCTTAGGTGCCTTTCCTGTTAGAGCTACCTGCTCATAACAAATGCACTTACCTAGCATGCATAAGGCCCTGGGTTCCATCCCCAGCCCTCAAAAGGAATAACTTCATTTATTTCATGCATTCTGTAAATACCGTATTATCCCTATTTTACAGGTAAGGAAACTGAGGCTCAGAAAGTGTAACTTACTTAAAGCCAGGACATGGCAGAGCTGGGATTTCAGTCCACAGCACATATTCTTTTATAACCATGGATTATCATTTTCTTCTTTATATTTGTTGCTGAGTTTCAAAATAATTGATCATAAACATGTTACTTTTATAATTTAAATAAATGTTACTTTTTTACAAAATGAATTTGCTATAGGTTCAGACTCTATTTACTCTCATATGTCAAAATATTGACTGGAGATGTGGCTTAAGCAGCAGAGCAGCTGCCTAGCAAGTGTGAAGCCCTCAGTTCAAACCCTGTACTGCCAAAAAAAAAAAAAAAGAGAAAAAGAAATTGAATTATGACATTGGCATATATATATGTGGGGGAATGAAAATATAATGAAAGGAGTGAACTTGTTCAAGGTACACTGTACACAAGTATGGAATTATCACAATGAATTTCATATTATTAATGCATACTTATTCAAAAGTAAAAATTTTTAAAAAATAGTTTCTTTCTACTTCAAGATGGTACTATACTTCCAATATCTGTTGGTTCAGAAATTATCCAATGACAGACCTGGGCACACTATGCTCCCCTTTGTATTTCCCTTCCCTAACTTTTAATAAACTCCATTTACACCCATGGGAAAAAAAAATAAATTTTTCAATGACAAAAAACAAGTATGCATTCAATAAAACTCTTTCTAGTACAGGAATTTTAATAATCATAATTATGCATATAGATTCACAGAACTTCCAGTCCCTCGAGATGTGGCCCATACTCTGGAAACCACTAATAGAGGAAATCCAGCTTAACTAGAAAGAAGAGGACAGAAATCACAACAACAGTGGGGGCAATAGCAATACTGACCTTGGCAGGGCTTGTAGTCAGTGGTGGGGCACCTGCCTAGTATGAGTAAGGCCCTGACCTCATCTCCAGCACCACAAAACAATAAAACCTGACCTTTTTGTTCCTCTTCATAGACTTGTTTGCTTTTTAATACATGACATATTCCCCTAATTAAAAAATTTAAAACAGGAAGTGTGGATCATGTAATAAAGTGCCTGCTTTTCAAGCATGAAACACTGAGTTCAAACCCAATCCCACCAAAAAAAAAAATTAAAATGTAAGAAGGTGCACAGTTAAGTCTCCATCCCACCCTGTCCCCCATCTTCCCAGTTCGCATGAACTATTAATCTGGCCTGGAACTTGACATTCTCCTGCCTCAGCTTCAGTGTGCTGGGCAGCCACCACATCTGGTTCACAACCACTCTTTTCTTATGTAAGCTTTATGCATACGCAATGAATTATAAATGTGTATTTTGTCTTTTTATACAAATGATAGTAATACTAAGTGGTAAAAATACTCACTTTTATTCTTTATCAGTAGGTCAGAGAGAACATCCCTTATCTGAGAGTATTTTATAATTGCATACTATTCTATTGTTTACAATCACCATCATTGATTATTTATTCAATCCCCTCTGATGAACTATTGGTTTGAAATAAATTCCCTTCATATTCTTTGCAACAAAGTATATAATTAATCCAAAATATTGGGAATACAACCTCACAAGTAGAAAACTGCCTCAAAATACCCTCCTGAGTTGGGGCTGTAGCTCAGTGGTTAACTATTTGCCTAGCACATTCAAAACCCTGGGTTCAATCTCCAGCACCACCAAAAACAAAGAAAAAAAAAAAAAAAAAAAACCTCAGGCTGGCAGAGTGGCTCAAGAGGTAGAGTACCTGCCTGACAAGCATGAGGCCCTGAGTTCAAATGCCAGTACTGCCCCCCCACACACACACAAAAAAAACCCTCTCCCATCAGGACTTCTGCCCATGCTATACAGAAGTCAACAGAGCAGGTGAAAGGAGGTGTCCAGGGCGGCCGTGCTAGTTTGCTATCACCTACTCCACTTTCCAGGACAGGAGAGGAGCAGGCCCACAGCCATTGGTATACGTGCTCATGGTTAATGGCGACATAGATTTGGAGTCAAGAGACTTGAGTTTGAGTCTCAGCTTCACCATTTCCTGGCTGTGTGACTCTGAGCAAGTCATTTGAACTTTATAGGATTCACACTCCTCATCTGTAAAATGGAGATAGTAGCATTTTAACTCTCTCACAGACTAATCATGAGGACCACAGAAGATGAATACAAGAAAAACTCTGCAAACCAAAAAGCGATACATAAAGCAATTATTTGGGGTCAATATCACACTCACAATTAAGAATTTACACACACAACCTTACCAATAAGAGTTGCCAAAGAGCAATGAGGTACTGTTGGCGTGAACCTGATGATAACCAGATAGTCTTCTTCGTTTATCTCCTGAACCTCCACACAGCTCTCCGTTACCACTTCCAGTTCTTCTAAAGTATTGGGCTTTTCTGGGTCCCGGATGGTCCGAATCAAATCTAGGATCAATGGAAACAAGGTATGACATTAAGGCACGATTATTCTGAGTAAGGATGATTCTTCCAGTCTTAATGTAAGCACTAACTTCTTTGTAAGAAAACATTAAAACAACTCCCAGGCTCTGACATAATTTCTACTACTGGTCCTTTTTTTTTTGGTACTGGGGTTTGAACTCAGGGCCGATACCTTGAGCCACTCCACCAGTCCTTTTTTGTGAAGAGTTTTTTCAAGATAGGATCTTGCCAACTATTTGCCTGGGGCTGTCTTCAAACCACGATCTTCCTGATCTTTCCCTCCTGAGTACTAGTTTCCTTTTGAGAAAACTATTTTCTTGGATCAATACTAAACAATCTCCAGTTTCATGGAGCCAGCATCACAAGGAGAAAATATCATGGGAACTCAAGAGGAAGTTCTGGCTTGGGAGAACATGGTATCAGACTTCTAGAAGTAGAATCTGAATCAAGCCTTTAAAAATGGGAAACATTTCAAAATTTGACATTTATTTTATTTATTTTTTATTTGACAGTACCAGGGTTTGAGCTCAGGGCCTCTTACTTGCTTCAAGCACTCTGCCACTTAGGCCATGCCTCCAACCCTTTTTACTTTAGTTTGTTTTCACAGAGGTTCTCACACTTTGGCCCAGGTCAGCCTTGGACCGTGATCCTACCTCTGCCTCCTGAATAGATAGTATCTCACACAGTTGTATGTGTTACCCATAACCAACAATATTTGGCTTCTTTATTTTATTTTATTTTTGTGGTACTGGGGCTTGAACTCAGGGCCTACACCTTGAGCCACTCTGCCAGCACGTTTTTGCAAAGGGTTTTTTTGAGATAGGGTCATGAGAACTATTTGCCTGGGCTGGCTTTGAACCATGAACCTCCTGATCTCTGCCTCCTGAGTAGCTAGGATTATGGGTTTGAGCCACCAGTGCCTCAAACCCAGCAGCGCTGATATTTAAAGTGAAAGAAAGTAAAGAACCAAAAGTTTCTTTGTCTGGAAACCAGTGTGAGTGAAAAGTAGTGGAAAAGAAAGGTTGTACTAAATCATTATAGTCTTTTACAGTTAGCTACAGGCAACAGGAAATCAAGAGACTGGGAACAAGAGAGGGGCATGGACAGCACTGTGCTGTCAGTGGGTAATTAACCCACCAGCTGCTAGACCCAGAACTAAGGAGAGTTCTGGGTCTAAGGCAGTGTTATCAGCTAGAAAGGCTGGACCTAAAATTAGAAGATGACAATGGTCATAGGGAAGAAGGACAGATGAAAAAAGTAATTGCAGAGGCAGAATCAACAACTTTTGACAACTCTTTGGATGTAGAAGACAAGGAAAGAGAAAAAGCAGATGACTCAGATTTTTAAGTCTAAGTGATGGGGAGAACACTATTAGAATAAAAAGAACAAGGAAGAAGTGTGGGTGGAGACTGAGGCAAATGATTTTAATTGCACAGTGATTCTGAGGTACGTAGAGGCAATCCAATGGAACTTCCCAGAAATGTTGAACTGTGGCATAGGGTCTAAGGCTATAGTAGTTGTTGAACCCATGGTCTCCACAAAGAACTTTGGGTGAATATTGGAGTTACCAGGAATGCTCTGAAACAAAAAACTGAAGTAGGTCTGGGCCCTACTACCAGAGATTCTGATTTCACTGATTTGGTGTACATGGCTGGAGCCACATTTGGAGTTTTAAAAATTCTTCAGCTTATTCTTATGTACAGCCCATTCTGAGACTCATTGGTATAAAGGAAAATAAATTCAAGGACAGATCCTTGGAAAGCACGTAATGTAAGGATCAAGATGAGCTTGGGCATGGTGATGCATACTGTAATCCCAGCACTTGAGAGGCTAAGGCAAGAGAATTGTGAACTCAAGGCCAATCTAGGCTACATAGTGAGACTGTTCAAAATTGAGACTCTGCTCAAAATTAAAAGAAAAAAATTTAAAAAAAAAGGATTACAGAAGGGAACCAAGAAGAGGTTAAGAATATTAAATGCTGCAACAAAACAAAACACCTCAGGCTAGCAAGAGTTAAACAGGTCTTTGATTTGTCACTCAAGGGGTTACCTACAAGAAAGTAGTTGGGGTAGAAAGGTAAGGGGCAAAGCCAGCTTACAAAAGGGGAAACAACTGGCAACTTAAAATGTATTCCCAGAACTTTGGCTGGGAAGGGCAGGGCAGAGAAGGGACAGTAACTTTATTTAAACTTTTGCAGGGTTTTTGGAGGTAGTGGAGTTTGTGGGGTTTTTTGGAGGTAGTGGGGTTTGAACTCAGGGCTTTGTGCTTTCTAGACAAGCACTCTACCGCTTGAGTCATGTTTCCAGTCCTTTTTGCTTTAGTTCTTTTTCCAATAGGGTGTCCTGTTTATGCTTGGGCTAGCCTAGACCCCAATCCTCCTATTTATGTGCCTCACATAGCTGGACTGATAGGTGTGCACTATTATACTCAGCTTTTATTGGTTGAGATGGGTTCTTGCTAACTTCTTGCCAAGGGGGCCTCAAACCACAATCCTCCTGGTCTCCAACTCCTGAGTTGCTAGGACTACAGATGTGAGCCACCATGACCAGCTTAATTTTTTTTTTTTTTTGAGACAGGTCCTATTAGTCAAGACTAGCCCAGAATTCACTAGGTAGCCCAGGCTGATCTCCAACTGACCTTCCTGCCTTTGCCTCCTAAGCATTGAGATTACAGGTGTGCATCATCATGCCCACATTAGGAACATAGCTTTGTAAGGAAGCTAGAATAATGGAGAATAAGGAAAACTAGAGTATGTGTTGTAGCTCAAAGGGAAAGATCAAACACAAGAGAGATTGAAAATATGATGGGAGACTGGTAAAATTAAGCAGAATTTTACCAGGGGAGCCTGGGCTGGCCACAGAAAGGACAAGGTTTCCTTGTTATCTGAGGCGACAGGAAAAGATGAAAAGGAGAATGAGAACAGTGAGGTAGAAAGAAGGATTTTAGGTAGGATAGGCTGGATGTTCTCAAGCCTGACATTTCATTCTAGTATTTATAGCTCCCCTATCACCAGAAATGCAGCTGGAAAAAACAAATCAATAAAACTCTACCTTCTCCCTAGCTATGTCCCAGCTTATTTGCTTGAACAGAAACAGAATTTGGCAATATAGACAGGAAAAAGGATAAAACTTCTTTCACAGAGCTGTGGTCATGGGATTTAGGGAAACAGGGGTTTTTGGAAAGGAATTTTCTGCCTCATTCTAGGCCTTCTCCTGTAAATTTCATTTGGACAAATTATTTTCTTTGTATGCCACTAAACCATGAAGTTAAATCTCACCCCTTGTTAAGCTTCTCTAGGTTTCTAGTGATTTAAGAAGTTTATATTGATTTCTTCTAAAGAAACCAATGTTCCTCTCTTCACATTACTCCCCTGACTAAAAATTTTTATGGGTGTTCACTGAGATTAGGACTCTTTTATTTACATTTAAAAGCTTCAGGGGTGCACACCTGCAATCCCAGCTACTTTGGAGGCAGAGATGAGGAAAAATGCAGTTTAAAGGTCAGCAAGGGCAAAAAGTTAGTGAGATTCCATCTCAACAAATGAGCTGAGCACAGTTGTGTGTATCTGTGATCCCAGCTGCATGGGATACCAGTCTGAGGCTGGCCCTAGGCAAAAATGTAAGACCCTCCCTGAAAAAATAACAGAAGCAAAAAAGACCTGGGGAGTGGCTCAAGTAGCACAGTGCCTGCCCAATAAGCATGAGGCCCTGAGCTCAAATACAGCCAAAGGAGAAAAGAACAAAAATGTTCAACTGCACTTCCATCTGGAACCACAAACTTTATCCTGTAATTGTTCCATCTATCTGCCACTCCCTCAGTATGTTATTTTTCTCACCTCCATACTTTTGCTCTTACTTCCTCTGACCCTGTACATATCCCAAGCCTCAATATAAATTTGAGTACCAGAATCACCTCTCTTGCAAAGTTGTATCCCCAGTGCCCTGCAGTCCCTAGATGCTATAGCCAGAGTTCTGGCAGGACAGGAATGCTTTGTGGGGATCAGTACACTCATAATTACCATCTGGCTGGGGTTAAGTAAATCCTGCCTCTACAGAGAGAGGTAGACTAGTTTAGCTGCAAAAAACTTTACATGCTTGTCTTTCTTCTACTGGCCTATAATCCCTGTATTCTTATGGTTAGATCTCTTAATGTTACACCCAATCTTTTTAGCTTTCAAAAGCAGGGCTAAAGGTGTAGATCAGTTGTAGAGCATTCCCTATCATGTGTGAACCCTTATAAAAATTAAACTAAATGTGGGGAGGTGGGGCGTGGCTCGACTGGTAGAGTGCCTGCCCAGCAAGCTTTAAGCCATGATTTCAAACCCTAGTACTGCCAGAGAGTTGGGGGGCGGAGACCCGAGGTAATTGTGAAGTGGTGAAATGTGCACTACATTTGGAATCACAGTTTAGTTTTTTGCTCTGTTCCTTACTGACAATGTGACCTCCAGGTAATTGTTTAACCATTACAAGCCTTTGTTTCCTTATCTGTACAATGAAGATAGTCCCAAGAAGTAAAGAATATTTAATATGTAGAGAGAATATAAGTATGTATATATGTATATAGAACACAGCTTGACTGTGAATTCACTTTGAGAAGCCCATCGTCCTCTTCTCTTGAGGACCTCTGCCTGTTGAAAAATGGCTGTGACCTTGGGCCAGTCCCTAACTCGGCCATCGCCAAGCAGGGCCCTCAGCAGCAGCGGGAGGAGTGCATGTCCAGGAGCAGAGAAGCAAGGAGGCTCAAGTGATGCAATCCGGGCAGCTCTGCTTCCTAACCGACCACGGTGGACTTCTGCTCTGCCCACCCGTCTTGGCATAACCACTTAGGGTATGAGCCAGATAGGGGAATGAAGCTTTAAGACTTCCAGGTTCAGTTTTCCCCAGGTTTAGGAACAGCCAGAGTCCTAGAAGAACCCACATTCCTGCGTAAATGAAACCCTCGAAGAAAACGCTTCCCACGCTCCCGACTAAAGTCGACAAAAACCCATGTGTCCACTCCCAGACCTGAGGTGAGGTCCTCGACCCTTCCCCCCCAACACACACACATCCCGCCCCCGGCCCTTTCTACACACAACGCAAATGCTACTCTGGGTAAAGTTAATTACCATAAACCTCTAGCGCTTTCTCTTCCATGATCCGGGGCTGCCGGGCAGCTCCCGGCTCAGAGAGGCCTGAAAGCCACAGGACTCTGCTCAGCGTCCAGGAAAGCAGCCCGGACACCCGCTCCATCCTCACGCTCCGCCATCCCTGGCGACTGTCCCAACCGAGCCACCGTCTCTCAGCAGCCGGCCTCAGAATTTATCAACTTCCTGGTCTTCAACAGAACCAAGATAAGTGTTAAGGTTCAAGGGAGCAAGAGAATAGGCGGGACCCAAGAGAGTAGCGCGGAGGACCTAGGGAAAGGAAGCACAAGACTACAGGCCCCAGCATGCTTTGCTTGGTTTCGGCGGGACAAGAAATACAATCCTCGCGACGCGTGAGTCACATTGCATGCTGGGACGTACGGACGTTTTCTTCGGACGGCATTGAACTGTATTCTGGGACTTGTAGTCTCAGCCGGGAGGAGAACTGTAACGGTCTGTTACACGTCATCCAGTACCTAACTCAGCGCCTACGATAAGCTAAAGATGAGTCCTGAAGAGGTAGGGGAAAGATACAGGTTTCTAGTGCTGCAGTCCGTTTAAAGCACAGAGATCCTTTACAGTTGTTTCTCCAAGGGAACTACTTCCAGCCAAAACCTTTCTCACTTCCTTATTCGGCAGGAAGTGGGTTTCCGTTGCGGTGAAGTAGGATGTCTGGGGAGGCCGGTAAAGATAGTTAGGCATGGAGGAGGGCAGGGGAGAGCTATTTGGTTTTCTCGACTGCTAACTCCCTGTGACTGGGATTATTTCTGACAATCGTCTTCAAAGACAATTTACAACGGGAGAACTTTCCCTGTGTTTATTGTGTCTGGTGGGTGACATAATGGGGTTGCCATCCTAAAAAGATTATCTTAAACCCTCTGGTGTTGTGGCTGTGATGGATGCCAGTTACCAGGTTGATGATGTTGTCTTATCTATCCATCCTTCCAATCTCAGAGATTTATTAGATACTTAATTAGCCATATGCGATGTGTAGACGCCAAGGTTACAAAACTAGGACAGTCCCAGCCCTCGTGCAGCTAAATAGACCTGTGAGAGAGCCAACCCTGAAGAGGAATTTGTAATTAGAAACACACAACCTTTTGTCAATGTTCGCGACAAGTTTCGTATTTATTGAAAGTCAGGAGGATTATTTTGCAGAATTATCCTGTATCTTTAAACTCCACTCTTGTTTATCTAGTTGGCTTAGACTTACCAATCAGGGAACAGGTCCCAGGAAATTTTTGTTCAGAGTCTAATTTCCCCGCCATCTATTCCACTCCACTTACTCCACAGCAATTAAAATGATAATCCTAACTTCCTTCCAACCAAATGTCGCACACTGAGGTCTCACCTCCTCCGCGAGGCCGCCCGACTTCTCCACGCAGGACTGATAATCTCTTTAACTGTTTTAACACATTATAGCATTGAACATGGTGAATTGTTGATTTACAAGACTGCCTCCCTCATTAAATTGTAAGCACTATAGCAAAGTGCCAGGCTTATAGTGAATATTCGGTATATATTGAATGAATTAACTGAATGCTGCCCAAAGAGTAAGTGGCAAAACTTTCCTGCAGACCTCAATTTAAAAAAAAAAAAAAAAATAGAGGGCTGGGGGCGTGGCTCAAGTGGTAGATAGAGCCTGCCTAGCAAGCGCGAGGTCGAGCTCAACCCCAGTACTGCCAAAAAAAAAATTAAAAAACTATGTGAGGGCACTGTGCTTGGCAAGGGAGAGGTTTTCAAACAGTTTTAGTCAGACCCTTTTAATCAAATGAAATTTTAGACGCCTACTAGATAAGGCGATAGAGAGCACAAAGGCAACAGGGACGTGAGCGGCCCCTAGCTCCTCCTCCTCTGCCCGCTGGGCCGCCTGTTTAAGAGCGCAGCATTGCGGTCCCGCGCTCGGATTTGCTGGGCATAAGCCGCGGTCCGCCCCCCGCGCCGGGCCCCGCCCCCCGAGCCCTGACTCCGCCCCTGCGCCCCCGCCCCACTGGTCCCGCAGGGTCTGTCACGGCCCTTGCGCTCCAAGTAGAGCTGGGACGCTTTGCTCGCGGCACTGTCTATAAAGTTGTTGTTGAGGCTTCCGCCGCGAGTGGAGGAAGATGGCGTCGGGAGGTGGTGGCTGTAGCGCTTCAGGGAGACTCCCTCCGCCCTTCCCCGGCCTGGATCCCGAGTCTGAGGGAGCTGCAGGGGGGTCAGAACCCGAGGCTGGGGACAGCGACACCGAGGGGGAGGATATTTTCACTGGCGCCGCGGCAGCCGTGAGTTCATACCCTGCGGGACAGCAGGCAGTAAGGCGCCCCAAAGAGAAGAGCGGCTAAGCGAGGGTCGAGGGACCTGGGGATAGTGGGCCTGGTGAGACTTTGCCTCGCTGTCAGCGGTCCGGGCTCGAGCGCCCAGGAAGAGAGCCGAGCCCCAGAGCCTGGCTTCCCGGCCCTGGGCGGGAAGAGTGAGGAATGAGGGGTGTGGTGCCTTCACCACCGAGGTCCTCGATAGCCAAGAGCCGCCGAGGCCGTCTTTGGCCCTGCCGGGTGGTCACCCACGGATCCATTGTGTCCAGACCAAGCTGGCTTAATAGGTCAGGATAGAGGTGCAGACCTTCTTTCCTGCCTTCCTGCTCCTAGGATGAAGAACGTTATTCCGAGTAACCTGGGATAGTGACCCGCCCACAAATCCTTCTTTAGCTCAACACTTACTGGACTTTACCAAAGGCCCGTTCTGGATCTTAGATTATAAAAGTTAGGTTGACTTCTCTGCTCTAGGAGAATTTGGGCCTAAAGCCGGTGGAGAGATAAACCATTGCAAACACCAGAAAGCTTTATTCCTGTTAAAGGGATGCATTTAAGTGTCCAAGTACCTCATTGGGAGCGAATCTATAAATGTGAAGAGGAAATTGCGTTTCCCATAACAAATATCCGGGGTTGAAATAAAAGGTATTGGCGAAAACAATGTTTATATGTGGAATGTGGAGATTCTTTGAGCATTTTGAGAATACTGACTCGTACCACTTGGTACAGTTAGTTCCAGGTTGTAAACTTCAGTGCTGTCTGTAAATTTATCTTTCTATCTTGGGTAATGCTACTTTTCATAGTAGCTACTTATTATTGAACTGGTAAAGTAAAGTAGCTTTATAGTCCTTATGCAGCGTATGTCTGAGAGTCTAAGGCTGGCTTTATTTGTGTAAGAAAAGATTTAAGTTTTGGGGGGTGTACTGGGGTTTGAACTCAGGGCTTTGCCCTTGCAAGAGCTGAGGCAGGCTCTCTACTGCTTGAGCCACACCCCCAGCCCTAGATTAAGTTTTTCTGGGGGAAATACTTTCTGCGACCATCATTAGAGCTTTCCTTGTACTATATTCAGTGATTGTGTCCATAGTTCCAGCTGATAAAATGCTTGCTGATGCTAATACAACAGCAAATTGTCTAATTAAGTCTGTTCTTAGAAATAACTCTTGAGCTGCTACATTAGATTAGTCTTTCTTCCATTTTAAATAAACCTTCATATAGCTAATCTCTCAAGTCATAAAGAACAGCTACTGTTGGAGCTGCTAAAATGATAGATATTAGCGTTGGCAGAGTGGCTGAAGTGGTAGAGTGCCTGAGTAGCAAGTGTGAGGCCCTGGGTTCAAACCCTTGTACCACCAAAACAAACAAACAAATAGAAACTCTGACACTGAAAGTGAGTAGTTAAAATAGGCAAATGTTGTTTTATTTTGGAAAAAGGGACCTGGAAGGATGAAAGGTTGTTTTCTAGAGTTGTCTAATAAGTTGAGGAAGCTGTGATTTGATTGATCTAATCAGGTTAGTTGATGGAGCATTATTCCTCTTGAAAGATTGTAAAAACCCCTCACCTACTTTCTAGCAAATGAGAGGAGAGGGGATTCCAAATGACCTGTTCTGCCACAGAAATCATCATAGTAATTTTTTAAATAAGCCAGGGTCTCGTGCATGCTAGGCAAGCACCATTGAGCTGTGTTGCAAGTTGCATAATTATTTTTGTTTAGATTTGACCCAGGATGACTGAGTTGCTGTTTACCCTGATATTACTCTTCAGGAAGCCAAGAAACCAAGATTCCTCACTAGTTAAACTTTTAACAGCCATTAAATACAAATTATATTTCAATAAATGCTTTAGTTGTGAGCCATAGCAGATAGGGGGTTGCAGCATTTTTGTATTTCAGGAAACAACATAATTAAGAAAGTAGGTTTTGAAGTTTGATTTAAATCTAGGCTCTACTTGCTAGCTTAACTTTGAGCAAAGTACTCTGTTTCCTCGCCTGTAAAATGGGAGTGATAATAGTACAGTTGGAGCTCCCTGTCTTGGTTTTGGCAAGTGTGGGTTCAACCAACCATGGATGGAAAATATTTGGGAAAATTGTGTCTAAACTGAACATGTACAGACTTTTTTCATTATCATTACTCCCCAAACAATATAGTATTAAAAACTATTTATATTGTATTAAGTAAGTTATCTAGAGATGACTTAAAAGGGAGGATGTGGGTAGGTTTTATGCAAATGCTGTGCTTTTTTATATATAAGGGACGAACATCTGTGGGAATGGGTGGGGTAGGGCGGAGTGGGAGACAGAAACCAGTCACCCACAAAAACTGAGGGATTACTGTATTTACCTCTATCATTATGAATGTTAAATTAGAATATCGTGAAGTACTTAGAACAGTTGCTTCTACATAATAAACATTTAAAGAATACTTAACTGTTTTAGAGGGTTTGGGCTATATTAATTGATTAGCATTTTGTAAACTGGAATTACTCTAAGAATAATTAAAAAAAACCCATAGAATCTAATAATGAATTTGAAAAGTTAATCCTAAAAATGGATAATACAGTCTATCAAAATCAAAACTGGGCATGAAGATTGATTAGCTAAAAGCCATCAAAGTAGGCACTTAATGACTTTTTGTTGATTTAAGTTGTTTTTCATGTTTGTTTACATTTTGGAGGCAGAAATGGGCATTGAAGAATTGAGAAGCTGAGGCATATAAAATTTAAAGCTAATGTATAGTATGCATGTGATTTCCCAGACATTGATGTAACAGCTGCTGCTGTTAATCATCCTGTCTGTTCTCTTTTATAGCCAGGAGGCTGTGTTAATACAGTAATAAAAATGTGATTTGATTTATAATCAAAAGAGCAGCCCATGATTTAGGTATCAGAATCTAAACCAGTCACTGAGTGGGAGGAACTGAAGTTAAAAGAATTGTTAAATCAAATCTGAAGTCATTGCTTGAAGACTGAAAACTGCTTGCAGAGGTCTGATTCTTAAGAACACCTAAGACCTTATCTTTTTTCTACCTCTAAATAAAAAGTCTAAGACTCTAAATATGTTATCTGAATCTTTGAAGTGGAATTGATGTGTATCTTTTTAGTGAAAAAAAGGAATATTCTATCCTTAATTCTGGGATAGGATTGATTTTTTTCCCCTTTAATGAAACAAGAGACTGAATTTGAGCCACTGTTTTGGCACTCCTAATTCTTAAAATTACCATGTTCAAAGGATTAGAAGCAGCATACATTTTTACACCTCATTTGACTACTGATTTTATTTGTGAACTTCTAAAATGATTAAAATCGAAGCAAATTCTTTTATTTGTCTTCCCAGGAGTTCTTAAATGCCTATCTTTTTTTGAAGAATTCCAGAACGACAATTAGATTTGGCCCCTAAATAAAGGGGAAGAAATGTGACAGTTTTTCTCATGCTGACAGGAAGGAAGAAAACTTAGATAAATTATATTGTCACAGATTTTGGCCAAATCTGGCAACTTCTTCTTTTGGTTATATGTTAGGCCAATTAGGATTTTTTTCCCCCATTACTCTTATTTGTAAACTGAAACCCTACTGATGAGAGAAATGCCTGGAAAAAATGAAATGGGATAAAGAAGGAATAGCAAGGGACTTGGAAAGTCATATATTGAATTATTTGTCTTTGATTAGTTAAGAAGTATTTACAGAGCCAGGGGGCTATAATCCTAGCACTCTGGAGGCTAAGGAAGGACGATCACAAGTTCAAGGCCAGCCTGGACTACATAGAGAGACCCTGTCTACCACTTGGGGCCTGGCTCAAGTGGTAGAATGGTTGCCTAGCATGTAGTACCACAACAAAACAAGACAAAAAAATAATTATTTATGCATGTCTACTGGTTTTTGAGATTAATGAATAATATAACTTACTTTTATTGGTATTTAAATGTCTTGGGTAGCAGTTAGCTCCTAATTGACAGTTTTATAGACTGCAGAGAGTTATGTAAATATGTTATATATTAGTATTTAGATAGGAAAGGATATGGGCTCTTTAGAATCCAGCCCTAAATCTGATTAGTATAACATGTATCCTGTGGGGAGGGGAAGAAGCAAAACAATTTTTTTTAAATGTGGTGAAAAAGATGTGAAATTTATTATCTAAGTATATAGTTAGGTAGTGTTAATAATTTAAGTAGTATACAGTTAAGTAGTGTCATAATATTTTCATTGTGTATGTCTGAGACTCTATGCCACTCTCCCCTTCTAGCTCAGCCTCTGATAATCATCATTCTAACTTTATATCTTTGTATGATTTTTATTCACTGTTCAGAAGTGGTGGTGGTGGGAGGTTCTCACTACTTTGCCCAGGCTTGTCTGAGACTCCTGGGCTCAAGTAAGACTCTTGCCTCAGCCTCCCCAGTAGCTGGGACTACAGGTATGTTCCACTGCACCACAGTTTCTATAAATTTGACTACTTTACATACCTCATAAGTGGAATTGTGCGATATTTGTCTTTTTTTTTTTTCCTTGAGACAGGGTGTCAGCATGTAGCCCAGTGTGGCCTCCAACTTGAGATATCCTGCCTCACCTTCCCAAGTGCTAGGATTACAGGTGTACTCCACAATGCCTATATTTATCTTTTTTTGGGGGTGGAGGGGTTGTTTTTGTCTTTTTTTTTTTTTTTTTTGTGCTGGTATCGAACTCGGGGGCCTCAAGCATGTTACGCAAGTGCTCTACCACTGAACTATATCCCAGCCCAGTATTTGTCTTTTTGTGACGGATTTATTTCACGTAGTGTAATATCCTCACAAATCTTCTGTATTGTAGTATGTGTCAGTACTTAATTCCATTTTAAGGCTGAATAATATTCTATTATATGTATGTAACACATTTTGTTTATCCATTCATCTGCCAGTGGATACTTGGGTTGCTTCCATCTCTTGTATATTGTGTAAGGTGCTAGTTTGAACATGATTGTGCACATATCTCATCAAGACCCTATTTC